TATGCTAAAAACATTTCTGAAGGGCTCAAAGGAAGTGGACACCTTGAGTATCAAGGAACATCTTACCGCATTAGCCACCAGAGGTGGCTCAAAGCAGGAGCCCGGGCTCAACCCCAACTCAGCCTCTCCCGAGCTGCCCCTGTTCCGGCACATTTATCCATGCCAGTCCTCCTGGACTCGCCACATGCCTGTGGTGTTCTGCGGTATAAGCTGGGGTAATAACGTGTCCCTCACACAGTGAGAATTAATGAGGACACCGGGAACATGAGAGCACTCAGTCCTGTCACTCAAGCACAAAGACAGCTCCCGTACATGACTGCTTTGTTCAAGGGCATCCTGTTCCTGGCAGCACTACCAGGACTCCCAGGTTGGGAAACACATTACTGTTTCTGGATGAAGATGGCAGACCATATGCACTGAGCATCTCATTTTGGTCCCTCCCAAAATGCCCTCTAAAACAGTAATAGAGGAAGTTTTTTAAAAATCATCAACTTCTTATGTTAGGAAACTCAGAAAGAGATAAGAGCAACGAAACTTTGAAAGCAGGAAGCAGATGGGCAAGAACTGACTTGGGCAAACCCAAGAAAGCAGGGAAAGTTGAGAACTAAGCCAGTAAAGAGTAGGGGAACAGTTAGAAAACCAGGTAGATCCCAGGATGTGATTCTTTCTTCATGGTACTGGCAACTCCTCCTTCCACACCCAGACAAGTCTGTGAGGTTTTATTTGTCTGTTGTTTTCCTTTTTCTTGTGTTCTGGGCTGAGGGATTCCAGAGACAGCAGATAATGTATCACACTAAAATTTAATATTCAGGACTATGCTGAACGAAGAAGCTTCCGTCTCTCTTCGGGCTCAGGACACTGACAGCAAAATTGCTTCCTCTCAGTCAAGAAAACTCTGGAGATTCAGACAGGCTTATGTGGCAAGGTATAAAAAACAGGTTATCAGGACACCACAACTGATGGACCGGCCAGATCATTCTGCAGGAAAATACACAGTGAAAAGCCTCATCCACACCCTCAGAGGTGTCAATCAACTTTTCAACTTTTTAATCAATTTTATTTATTAGCGAAGAGTCAGTGATTACTATGGATCTGAGGAAACTTATAACATGAAAGACACACACAGAAAAAATAAGCAACCTGATACAAACCATTCAGAGAGAGAACACTTAAAATCACTGTAACTTCAGAAAAATTAGAATAAAATTCGGGCTCTGTGGTGTACCCCTGTAGTCCCAGCACTCAGAAGTTTGATGGAGGAGGGTCACCAAGAGTTGAAACCCCGCCTCAAAAGACCAAGACAAACACCCTAGAATAAGATGCCCTGAAGGGTTGCCGCTCTCATGTGCCACCCTGCCTTGGAGCCAGCTAATTATGGACTGACACCTCTACAAACTGTGAGCTAAATAAACCTTTCCTCTCTTAACTTTGGGTGTCGGGTATTTTGTCTCAGGAATGAGAAAAGTAACTAAGACAGCAAAACACTCTCAAAATGAAAAATAAAAAATAAGCTGGGCATGGTGGCACTCGCCTGTAACCCCAGCATTCGGGTGGCTGAGGCAGAAGGATCATGAGTTTGAGGCCAGCCTGGGCTACAAACTGCATTCAAGACCAGCCTGAAGTGAATAGTGAGAGCCTGTCTCAAAAAGAAACATACATATGTGAATATTTTTAAAAATTAAAAAATGACTGCATATGTAGCTCAGTGCAAAGGTCCAGAGTTCAGTCCCCAGTATCACAAAAAGTAAATGGTATTTACTACACAGAAAATACAAGGGAAAAAAATAACAAGATATTTGAAGAAAGCTTCCCCAGAAAAAATATTCTTGTATTTTGATTTTTTTTTTTTTTTGGTATTTTTGAGGCAGGGTCTCGCTACGCAGTTCAAGCTGGGCTTGAGCTCACTTTGTAGCCCAGGCTGGTCTCAAACTTGCAACGATCCTCCTGCTTCAGCCTCCCCAGTGCTGGGATTACAGGTGTGCACCAACCCGTATTTTGAAAATTTAAAGGGCACAGCGAATACTTAATTTAATGGATGAAAACAGATCCACACATCATTTGAAATGTAAAACATGGGCCAGGGAGATAGCTCAGCGGCATAAGAGCCTGCCTGGCAAGCACAAGATCCTGATTTGATTCCTGGTACCAAAAAAAAAAAAAAAAAAGAAATGTAAAACACTGAAACCAAAGTGTACAATCTATAAATTTCCAGAGAGGTGAAAACTATATATAAAGGATTAAGGGGTTCATAATGGTTTAGAATTCTCAACAGCAACACAGGAAGCAAGATGACAATGGAGGGGCTGGGGATTTAGCTCAGCGGCACAGCACCTGCCTGGCACGTGCAAGGTCGTGAGTTTGATTCCTGGTACCGGAAAAAAAAACAAAAACAAAAACAAACAACAAAAAAAAAGATGACAATGAAGCAATAGCTTCAAAACTGAAGGAAAAGCACTTCCAACCACAACACCAGCCAAAATACCAGTCAAGTATTAGGACAGAATTAAAACACATTCAGACATGCAAGGACTCCAAAAAAGGTAACTCATCCTAGATATTACTGGAGTGTATGTTCCACTACAGAAAGTAAAATCAGTACAAAAGGATATAGGAAAGAGAGCTAAAGGGCAAAAGACAGCCAGGCCAGCCTGAAGCGCTGGGTTCAGCTGTGGTTTAGCTGAGAACTGACACCACAATGGGGCCCAGATTCCTATCTGTCCTGGCAGGGCTGCCTTATCTTGAGCTCTGGCTGATGCAGTAGTTCCTGCTCCCCGCAAGCCCTGCAAACTGCAACTAGCAGCAGCCATGCACTTTCCTCGATGAGAGATTTGGCTTTGACCTTCCCTGGTTGCAGGCAGGATATAGTGAACCAAGAAGGAATGCTGGGTAACATGCTCCCCGGATCGTATGTCTGCTGTCCTTCCAGGATGTGGTCCCCGCTAGAGTCCTCCACATGCCCTAAAATGAACCCCACTGACTAGAACTCCCTCCTTATACCACCCAACCTCCTTCTGAAAGGGCTCTGTTTCAGTCAGGGAGGTTGATGAAAACAGTTCAGCTCATCTCTTCCTGGAAGCCTTTATCTATCAGCGACAAATGTCCTCCCCTTACATATCAAGTTGGAAGTTAGGGTTATAATACAAACATTTAACCCCAAATTTGAGAAGCTCTTCCATTTTCTACTAACCCTGTTTGGGCCTTATCTGTGTTCTGAGGGGTATAATTTTCTTAATGGAACAATCACTACTAATAAAGATGCAGATAATTTACAATCCTAAAAGGTTTGCGGGGGATTTAGCTCAGCAGCACAGCGCCTGCCTGGCAAGCGCGAGGTCGTGAGTTCGATTCCCGGTTGGGGGGGGGCGGACAACTAAAAGGTTTAACTGCAGAAATAAGGTATATTACAGCCTATTAGAGAACATTAAACCCAAAATGTGCTTTTGTTGTTATGTAAAACATTAACCTGTTATATCTAATTCAGCAGTCTCTTTTGGAGGGCAGTATTGGGGACTGAACCCAGGATCTTCACACTGAGTTACATCTCCAGCCTATTTTTTATTTTCTGTTTTGTGATAGTCTCATCAAGTTGCCCAGACAGGGTTCAAACTTGCAATCATCCTGCCTCAGCCTCTCAGAGTGCTGGGATTACAGGCATGTGTCACAACACCCAGCTAATTTAGCACTTTTATTGAGATACTCCTTTCTCCCTATGAACTATGTATTTCTTTAATTCTCTTAAAACCAGCTCCTGGGCCAGGGCTATAGCTCAGCTGCACAAGTGCCCGCTTGGCAAGCTCAAGGTCCTGAGTTTGATTCCCCATACCAAACACACACACACACACACACACACACACACACACACACAAAAAAAAAAAAAAAAAAACGGTTCTTATGGACCTTGAGACCATTCCCTTAACTGAAATAAATCAGACATTTTCTTTTTGTTTCTGTATTTTTGAGACAGGGTCTCGCTATGCAGTTCATGCTGGCCTTGAGCTCACTTTGTAGCCCAGGCTGGCCTCGAACTCGCAAGGATCCTCCTGCCTCACAGCCTGCCTAGTGCTGGGCTTACAGGCTTAGGCGCGCTCTCCGCGGGAAACTTCGCCTGTTGGAGGAGGAGACAGAGCGCGAGGAAGCAGCAGGCGAGGAGCCCGGCAGGCGGCGCCTCGGGAACCGCGGGGAAAGGGCTGCGCGGCCGGGCGGAGAGGACGCCGCGCCGCCGCGGGAAGGTCACAGGGCTCCCTCGGCCCCCGGAGCCCT